TAACTTTTAATTTTGTATCTTGTGAAATAAACCTTTGAAAGTGAAAAAGAAATAAAAATTTCTCAGCAAACAAAAATTTGCAGATTGTTTTGCCAAAAGACCTACCTTGGAGAAATGCTAGAAGAGATCTGGAGAGAAAGAAAATAGTTCAGAAACTCAATGTTAATGTCCATATCTACACAGAAGAAGGAGCAGCATCAGAGAAAAAGAGAAGCAAAGGTGAAATGGAGACTTTTCCTTAACTGAATGAATAACAAAATAATAGCAACAAAGTATTCAATTATGTATATTTTCTATAAAGCCAGCTGTATCAATCCAATCACATTAATAATTGCTTTGAATTTTAGTGGACTAAATGCACCCACTAAAATTCAGAGATTTGATTTTCCTTTCTTTCTTCTTTCTTTCTTTCTTTCTTTCTTTCTTTCTTTCTTTCTTTTCTTTCTTTCTTTCTTTCTTTCTTTCTTTTTTCTTTTTTTCTTTCTTTCTTCTTTCTTTCTTCTTTCTTTCTTCTTTCTTTCTTTCTTTCTTTCTTTCTTTCTCTTTCTTTCTTTCTTTCTTTTTCTTCTTTCTTTCTTCTTTTTGTACTGGGAGTTTAACTCAGAACCTTACACTTACTAGGCAGGTGCTTGAGATTTCAGGGCAGGGGAGATGGCTCAGTAGAATAAGTGCTTCCCTGGCAAGTGCAAGGGCCTGAGTTTAATCTCCCTTGTACCAAAAAAAAAAAAAAATCAGAGATTTCAGAGTACAGCAAAAAAACATAACCCACTTCTATAAGAAATCAATTTTAAATATAATGAAATATAAAGTAGAGTAATACCTCATTTTACAATTGTTTTTTGTTTGCAAACAATGTGGTTCATAAACAGAACTGTTCAGCAAAATTCATTTGACAAAAATTCAATGTCTATGTAGCATAAAATCTTCCAGTAAATTACGAATAAAGGACAATTTTCTTTATAGAATATCTGCAAAAATCCTACAGTTAATGCAGCATTTAATGATGAGGAACCAGGAGCTTTCCTGCTCAGATCACAAGCAAGACAAAGGTTTTCCCTCTCACCGTTCCTTTTCAATTTTATACCTGCAGTCCTAGCTAATGAAGTATGGCTACAAAAGCAAATAAAAGACATACTGATTGAGAAGTAATAAATAAATTTCTATGTATAGGTGACTTGATTGTCTATCTAGAAAATTCAAAAGAATTGACAAAACCATAACAAAATAAAAACCAATCCTTCCTTAAGCTAATAAGCATTTATAGCAAGGTTGCAGGATATAAAGTAAATATATAAAAGTCAATTCTTTTCCTACACACCAGCATGAACAAGTATAATTTGAAATTAAAAACACGATACCAGGTACAGTAGGATCACAATAAAACAAAATACCTGGGCATAAGTTTAATAAAGCATGTATAAGGTCTTTATGAAGCAAATTATAAAATTCTGATAAAACAAATTAAAAAGACTTAATAACTGGAAAGATATCTCATGGTCATGGAGAAGGAGACTGGGAAGGCTCAGTACTGCCTAGGTCACTCTTTCACCATTTCAATAGTATGTTTAATCAATCTTAATCAAGTTCCCAGAAAGTTGTTTTATAAATGCCACCCACTGATTCTAAGAGTTTATAAGAAGAGATAAAGGACCCAAAATAGCTGAGAGAATTTTGAGGGGAAAAAAGTTGGAGGTCTGACATTACCCAACTTCAAGACTTACTATAAAGCTGTCATAACGAGCACAGTGATCTTGGCAAAATAGTAGATAAATAGAAAATGGGGCAGACTAGAGAGCCCTGACAGAGCCATTACATGCTGATCTTTGACAAAAGAGCAAAGACACCAAAGTGGAGGGGGAAAGTTTTTTACTAAAAGATGGTAAGATAACTAGATATCAATAGGCAAAAATAAATCCAAACACAGACCTTCTTATGCCCTTTACTGAAATTAACTCCAGAAGGATCACAGATCTAAATGCAAAATGCAAAACTCTCA